GGGGGGGGGGGGGGGGGGGGGGGGGTGACGGACTAAATGGCAGGAGAGGCGGAGGGATGGGGGAGAAAAAAAAGGGTGATAGAAAGAAGTTATAGCATAAGAGAAAAAAGAATAAACGGGCAAAGATAAAAGGGAGAGAGAGAGAAAGAGAGAGAGAGAGAGAGTGAGTGAGAGAGAGAGTGAGAGAGGCATGAGGTGAGCAGGGATAACGAGGGGCGGGCGGGGGGCGTGAGGAGCAAATGTGAGATAGAGAAGGAAAGGTGGGAGGGAGGGAAAGGGAGAGTTATCACGCACATTGCATTGAGAGATCACAGAGAAGAACAAAGGACGACGACGCCAGGCTCTCGCTTACATTTCCCATGCATTCAACGGCCATCGAGAACGCGCGTCTTCTCGTTCACTCAATCAACATGTATATAAAAGCAAAAGAAATATTATGAAAGCCTGGACAACGTCCCCACTGTCCTCGTTGACGTTGTCGTCGTTGACGTTGTCATCGTCGCTGAACAATTACGCAAAAAGGACGAAAGGGAGCTTATGTACACGAAAGTCAGGGCGAAACAGCTGTTGGTTAGTGATGATAAAAGTGCTTTGGAAGAAACGTCAGAGCACGAATAAATGAGACACACATATACGCGCGCACCAAGAATATATAGATATACAATACAGTGAGGGCGTAATAAGCGATGGAATTCCCGCAATAATCGCCGACACAGAAAGATAGACAACCGTGTGTCTCATTATACCTTTCACGTACATACACTGTGACCCCCCTCTCCCACCCCACACCACTGGTCTTCGCCTCGACACTCACTCACTCATTTAGTCTCTCTCTCTTTCTCTCTCTCTCTCTCTCTCTCTCTCTCTCTCTTTTCTCGAGTACACTATAAACGTACGACTGTTATGCCGTGCTGTTACTGCTGCAGTTACTACACGATAGAAAATTTAAAGATTCTACACTTCGATGGAAAAGTGTTGAACAACTCAAAGATAGCACAATTTCAGGACGCACTTGGAGTATGTACGGAGGTACAACTAGCGTCAGTTCTACAATGGTCTGATGAAACTCTGATCCCAGAGAGAAAATGAAAAGTCCGGGAAATTATTATTTCTTTTATCATTCACTCTGTTTCTCGCTGACTATCTTCGTCCTTCTCTAACGCGCGTACGTACGCGCTCTCGTTCGTGTCAGCTCACTTACACTTGCGCGGCTAGAGAGGCGTGTTATGCTACGCACGCGCGCACACATATTCCTGCACGTACAATACACCCGCATGAAAGAACGTCCACCTTTGTGTCCCTCTTGCTTCCTCTCTCTTGCACCCCCACCCTGTAACCCTTCTCCATCTATCTCGCTCGTGCTCGCGTAGTCTCTCTGTATTTCAATCGCATAAATGCCTCCTCCCGGAGATCAACTCTGCGCAAGACAAAGACGGAGAAAAATGAAGGAAAGCCAAAGCACAGAGCAGGCAACGCACGCACTTATTATAAGCACTCTTTAAATTCGACTACGTACGCGTAAAGAGAGAGAGAGAGAGAGAGAGAGAGAGAGAGAGACGGGCGGACAGACGAACGAACGAACGAACGAACGAACGAACGAACGAACGAACGAACGAACGAACGAACGAACGAACGAACGAACGAACGAACGAACGAACGAACGAACGAACGAACGAACGAACGAACGAACGAACGAACGAACGAACGAACGAACGAACGAACGAACGAACGAACGAACGAACGAACGAACGAACGAACGAACGAACGAACGAACGAACGAACGAACGAACGAACGAACGAACGAACGAACGAACGAACGAACGAACGAACGAACGAACGAACGAACGAACGAACGAACGAACGAACGAACGAACGAACGAACGAACGAACGAACGAACGAACGAACGAACGAACGAACGAACGAACGAACGAACGAACGAACGAACGAACGAACGAACGAACGAACGAACGAACGAACGAACGAACGAACGAACGAACGAACGAACGAACGAACGAACGAACGAACGAACGAACGAACGAACGAACGAACGAACGAACGAACGAACGAACGAACGAACGAACGAACGAACGAACGAACGAACGAACGAACGAACGAACGAACGAACGAACGAACGAACGAACGAACGAACGAACGAACGAACGAACGAACGAACGAACGGACGGACGAACGGACGGACGAACGGACGAACGAACGGACGAACGGACGAACGGACGAACGAACGAACGAACGAACGAACGAACGAACGGACGGACGGACGGACGGATGGACGGATAGACGGACGGGGAGGGCGACAGCGGAGAAAAGCATATTGAACACTATACATTAATGCTCTTACGCTATAATGATATATTTTATATATGCAACACTATATATCGAAACTCTCTGTCTTTGTCGGAGGCACTGGCTATACTGCTGTAGCTTTAAGAGAAAGAGAATAGACAGCGTCGTACAGCCACTTTTTTCCCGTTCTTTTCCTTCCTCCACCTCCTCCTCCTCCTCCTCCTCCTCTTCCTCCTCCTTCTTCGCCTTCGTCCCCCCTGCCCAACCCTACCCCAGCACCTGGCCCACCTCCTTCTCCACCCTTCACAATGCTACTTCTCTTCCACCTCTTTTTACGCGCGCATATTATGCGTGCGAGCGCAGTAGAGCGCAGCGAGAGGAAATCTCTACGGAATGTTGAGGATGATCTCGGTTAGTACTATAGTGGCCCGTCACTCGAGCTACGACGAGGTGAGCCGAGCTATAAGCGCGCTGAGAGGCGGAGGCGGAAAAAGCGTAAAGCCTACACGCGATGCCTCTTCAGCACTGCGCGGATATATTACCCCCGAGGATTCTCGCCGCCGAGTTGCGAGTCGACGGGACGGAGGAGGATGGGGCGAGAGGCGGATGTAACATATACGAGATTCTCCTCCTCGGGGCACTCCGTGCATGTTACATCGCGCGAATTAATGAAAGACAGAGATGGCGTTCAGGAGAGACACAGCAGAGAAAGGCACAGATTAGCAGCACCGTTTTAACCTTAATTTTCGGACAATAGCGAGCGATAGGAGCAGACCGGAACATTTCTCCTGGACACTCCAGCACACTGACGTCACGGACATCCCGTTCGCGATTCGCATTAATGCTAAATAAGCTCGACAGACGTTTGTTTACTTACGAAGCCCCTATATATACTTTTGCACCACGAATCGTCTCTCTCTACACTGGTGAATTTTTATGGTCGACCCGACGAGTTACAAGCGCGCGCGCACGCACGCACGGACACACGGACACGCGGGCACGCGAATGCGCGCGCGCGCGCGCATTGAGGCATAGGCGCACGCACACGGCAAAGAGGGTCGTTCGCGCATAAATGCGACTACTGCATTCATGCATTCATACGTGCGCGCGTGCATGCGTCCTTATATACATGCTTGCTTGCTTACGTACGTTCGTACTTACGTACATTCGCCTATCTATCCATCTATCTATTTGCCTATCTATCTGCACTGGCGTGCGTGCATCAGTGCCTGCACACATGCGCGCAAAAGCTCGTTACGGCCTCCGTGCGTACGCCACACGAGCGCAGGGGTGCACGGTGTGCGCGGACCCAGTGCGTGTGAGAGCGCAGCGCAACTCGAGCGTGTGTTGGAAATGCGCGCCGCCACTATCGCTCGCGATCGTAGGAAAGCGCGCGTAGACAGTAGCGCCGCGCTTAATCTTTTTAATGTTCGATTTTTCTGCAAGGGCGGATCGAACGTTACTCGAAAGTCTCCTGCTTAATGCACTGACATAGCAATTGTAGGCTTAATTTGCGGCCGCAGTTAATGAAGCTTTCGCTTTGCCTCGAGGCTTCGAGCGTCGTAAGCTTTCCTAGCTAATTGGGGTCGACGATGAGCAATTTTGCTTGCGCATCCTTCCACGACAAAGGAAATCATGAGCGTTTGACGAAAGTTTTATGATCGTCCGTGTCTTTAGGAAAGCAAGTCAGAGTGCATATAAAACGGAAGGCGACTCTATAATGGCCTTAGTTGCATTTAAATAAAAACTTGACAGAGAGAGAGAGAGAGAGAGAGAGAGAGTGAGAGAGAGAGTGAGAGAGTGAGAGAGAGAGAAAGATAAATAAATTGATGAATGGATGGGTGGATGAGTGGATGTGCAGATAGATAATATAGATAATATAGATAGTATAGATAGTATAGATTGTACCGATAGTGTAGATGGTATAGATAAATAGCTTGATAGGTAGGTAGGTAAGCAATTAAGTAGATAGGTAAGTAGGTAGATAAATAAATAAATAAATAAATAAATGAACGATCGTAGAACGAACGAACGAACGAACGAACGAACGAACGAACGAACGAATGAATGACGAAGAATGAATAAACTGATGTAAAATAAGACCCTTAACGATTATTGTGCTACGAGCGATCTCTACTGCGACAAAAATGTTTGTTTCGATTAAATATAATTTTGGGCATTCAAAATGAATGCGAAAGAAAATATTATTTAAAAAATCCCTAAGCAATTACTTAACAATAATATAATTTCATTATAGATTCTCTTTTCGTTTCAAGTAAAATTATTATGAAAAAAAATTATTATCTCATAAATATACACACGCATGCTTGCGTGCGCGTGTGTGCGTGACTAGTCGGTACACGGTGTTAGTCGTCATTCCGTATGCCAGATATCCAACCAATATACAATAACCCGATGTAGGTTAAACTTGTTTAATGGCGTATGAAAATTCAAAAATAAGACATGAGAGGTATTAATCTTTAGCCACATCCAGATCTCGAACAATTGTTCTATAAATAGGCCGTGCAACGATATCCCATCTATTTTCATGTAACGTAATTAACATTCGTCGCTCACAATCAATAATACGAATATTTGCTGGATTTGCAAAGGCCATACATAGAAAGCTCAGTTAACGATCGATTAATTATATGTGCAAATAGTAGGAGGATGTGCCATGTGCCATCCCCCGGCTCCTGTCACGTAAAAAAATTGCACAGAACTGCATAGTGCGTCATATCAGATGGCAGTGATAGCAGAGACATCTCTTGCGATATCACTTGAGAGATTTTTCTTTACTCCCCAGTCACATGTAAATTCGTAGTTTATCTAGCTCTGCTTATCCAACGTTTATTTAACAATTTTGTTTTCCACTTTTGAGCCAATTTCATGCGGCGTTGATTAAAGTGTGCGTTGCGTCGATGGTAATAAAATAATTATAATAAATAGACGCGAATGAGCTAAATTGTTGATTAACTAGAAATACAAATAGCATTACTTATTTTGTATGTGAGCAGCAATTTTTAATTCTCGGTGGAAATTGCCTTGTGTTTAGTTTTTTTCGGCAATGTGTTGGCTAAAAATATTATTCCTAGCAAAGTTAAATTTCCATTATTGTAAATGAAGCGATTGAGATTAATAAAGGCAAACGATTTATTGAATAATTAAGCTCTAAAGCGTAATTATTGTTTGTGATTTATTTTGTCATCGTATATTATTGAGGACGTATTTTGTAACTCGTGCGTAACTTTCAGGTTAGCGAACATTCACGATTAAAGATTTATATTAAAGTACAAACATTAAATGTCTGCCCTGGAAATCAATGATTTAAAAAGTCAAATTGACACTGTACCGTGTCGTACGGCTGAAAATTCGATAGGAGCTTTGGATGCTTCTTCAGCATTACACCCATCCAAGGTGAAAGTATCTAACGATAGCTGCATCGAAGAAGATACTCAGACCGATAAAGTTCATGGGAAAGTTTCGGATGAAACGTCCAATTATGATTTAATACAAAGGCCACGTACCGTATGTTAAAATAAAAATATGTTGTGATTCATAATAATAATTATAAGTTTGTAAATTGATTAACATTAATGAATAATTTTAATGAAAATCCTTCCCTTTTAATCCGTTTAATGCCTTTCAATTCGAATGCAATGCAAAATCGACTAATTTTTCTTATTTATATAATATTATCGATAAGGGATTAATAATTTTTCTCTTTTGTAGTTAGAAGCTTTCAAAGAGCAAGAATCCTTAACAGAAATTTCTAATTTAAAATCCACGTTAAACTTAGACGATCTTGACGAAGATGATGAAATTTGGATTGTCGAGATTCCAATTACCGTAAGATAACTCATTGTTCGACATATGCAAACAAAACGAATTGAAATAATTTAATTTGTTTTTCAATTTATTTCATTTTATTAATGAAATTAATTATACAGGTTGATCCAATGGAGTTGAAAAATCAAGTCCTAAATTTAGGTGAAAAATCAAAACTTAAGTTTGGTAAAGATCGTTATTGCGCTGTAAATAGAGATTGCAAGCCTAATCTTACATGCGTATTACGTGCCGATGACGATTCAGAGATCTATAAAGCAGGTATAACATTCATATAAGGAATTTTTATTTTATTTAATTCTTGTGTAAATGACGCTTTAATGCTTATATTGTGGTGAAATAATTTTAGTGAATATACAAACCACTGGGACAATGAACATAAGGAGAAAACTTTCTGGATTATCGAAGAAAGACTTCCAATTTGAAAAATTCATAGGAATACCAGATTTGCAAAATATAAAAATCAGACATCCGTTCTTTGGTGCACAATACGACGAATCGATAAAAAAAAAAGAGTAAACGCGTTAAAATATTAATCGAGTGTTTGCAAGTCCAAAGGGAACAAAGTTTAAAGTGAAATGAATTCTGTTTAATAAAAGTGAAACTTGGCTTGTAACCAAACCACTTATCAAACTCTACAATTTGATAAGCGATCCATGATAATGGATGTAAATAATAATCCTAATTAATAAAATAATTTATATTATTATTGTTGAATAAAGTGCCCGAATGACTAATTTAAGTGACAAGCTTACACGAAGCTCCTTGTGTAATATTTATAACTGATGCGCTGGTTAAATAAAGACCTAAGTTACAAATATAATTCCCATTGGCAGTCTAGCTACTTCGACTCTGCAAAACATTTCAAGCAAATTGAAAATTATCAATGTCAAAATCTTATGAAACAAACACCCTTTAAAATTCCAACTTACACAGGCAGACAGAAAGAAAAATTAACAAGACAAAAGAACGCGCATCGGAAAGGGAAGGATGAGAAGAAATTCCATTAAACTTTCCTTTCTCTCTTATTTAAACGCACACTAACAAAAGTCTTCGCGGGCACGCACGCTATTCGTCGAACACGTACTTGCCCATAAGCACAGCACACACACATAGCCACACAGAGAGGAGCTCGTAAAAATATATCGGACATGTTGGCATTGCTGGCCCTCTGATGGTAGCTTTCTCCAATTTTTTCTTGCACTATCCGTCCCTTTTTCCGTTTCTGCGCTGGACGTAGCGAATGAGTTGCGTCTTTTTTACGTTCAATTTCATTGCAAATTCGCTCGTGAAGAAGGAAGAGAGCCATGAGCGGTCCCTTATCCAGGGGACGATGATACAATAGTCTCTCAACGACCTCGGAGACCTTATCGTTGCCCGTTGCTGACCATGGATTCGCGCAACGAGGTCTCGGTGACCAATAATGCCGCCCTCGCTTCCTTCACCGTCGTGAAGGAAGAAGTTTCGGAGCAAGCGATACCAACGGCTACTAACGCGAAGCAACAGGCACAGCTGCCAGCGGGATACGCGATGAGCACCGACAGCAATACCGAGGAGGACGAGGAGGCCGAATGCACAACGGAGCAGGGCCAAGAATCAGAGATCAAGAGCAGTTTGTCAAAGTGCGCACTCTGCTGCAAAGCCTTCGTCATCGAGGACAATCCGAAACTCCTCGAGTGTCTTCACGCGGCCTGCTCCACTTGTATCAACAGCAAACTCAACGAACAACACAGTACCTCGGTCGATGCTGAGATTCTGCGTAAGCATCGTTCTAATTAAGCTTGACCCTGCCCACACCACTTGACACTTTATATGCTAATGTATGCATACATTTCTAAATATTACAACAATTATCTTGGTTTAGTGTCTTATAACTAATTTAGCCCCTTTGTATGCTAATGGCAAAACCATTTTACATGAGAACGTTTGAATAATTCAGTACTCGGGTGCGGGGTCATTTATAAAATTTTTATATCACTTAGATTCTTATTTTCTTAAAGCGAAAAGAAAGATTAAGTAATATATTGGTAATGCGAATCAGTCGTGTAATATTTATTTGCAAAATAACTTCAACTTGAGTAATTATAGCGTAGTACTTATTTAAAAATTTGCTACGTATATATATATATATATAACTATAGTTTGTAATTTGTAAGCATAAGTATATAAAGTTTTACACATGTATATATACACGCATCTATATCATTATTATTACCATATGTATTGATTACGATATATGTATATATGACTGAGTGTGGCACATATAATTTAATGCTTGATTTATTCTGTTATAGCTGAAACCAATGTTATTGTATGCCAACTTTGCAATGTTATCAGCCAGTCGGAGAATTTAATTGAAAATCGTTTTTTTTCTAAATTTTGGGAAGATGATATGAATGCTTCTTGTGATGATGAATCTAAGGATGTTGAAGAAGAAAAGAAATGTACAAATTGTACTGAAAATGCAATTGCAACAAGTTGGTGCGTGGAATGCGAAGAGCTAATCTGTCAAAATTGTGTTATGGCAAGATATTTTACTTATTCATTCATAATTCGTTAATATCAAAGCGAAATATTTGATTATTTAAATGATTTAAATTTACAGGCACATCAGAGGTTGAAAATAACCAAGGATCACACGATAAAGCCTAAAGAGGAGATTACTAACGATACAGAAAATGTCAAAAAAGGAGAAAAGAAGTTGCCAGTTTATTTGTTTTGTACGCTTCATCCACACGAACAATTGTCTTTATTTTGTCAAACTTGTGATCGATTAACATGCAGAGACTGTCAACTTACAGAGCATAGAGAACATAAATATAAATTTATACATGAAATAGCTGCAGAAACTCGTACCTCTGTGAAAACATTATTGAATGAAGTTAGGTAAGAATATTAGATGAATAATTAATTTTACATTACCACGAATAAACTGAGAGAATTAACTTGTATAATTTGACGTTAGTTATAAGAGGGAACTATTGAAAAGTGCGATGAAAGTTATCGAGGATCGTCAAGTATTAATATCTGAGAAAAAGAAAAGCCTTGTACAAGAAATAACGCAAATGGTTGTGCAGTAAGTAATTATCTAATTAATATACATGCATGCATACGTAAACGCATTTATATGCGCGTGCGCTGAGACACACACGCGCGCGCGCGCGCATCAACATTATTAATCTTTTATTTTGTATAAATTTTTTGTAAGATTGTAAATTAGTGAGAAATAAAAGAATATCTAATATGACTATACAGACTAAAGTTAATCTAAACTATTTTTCTCATTTTATATTGGTTCATAATTTTTTCATTTCTTACTTTTTAATAGATTTTAATAGATTTTAATGAACTGTAAATATAGTAAGAAAAAAAGAAAAAAAAAGTTATTACAATGCGCTCTACTTTACATATTAAAATAACAAAGTATGATGATTTTTAGATTGACAAACGCAATAAGTTCCAGAGGAAAGCAATTAGTAATGCGCTTAAGTGAAGTTTGTGATCAAAAACAAAATACTCTAAACGAGAAAAAAGTAGCCTTAGATCAACTATCTAAATTGACCGATCATTGCATAGACTTTGTTAATTATGCGCTTGACAAAGGCACTGATATGGAATTACTTTATAGTAAAAAGTCAGTTACAAATCATTTGCAACGAATAAAAAGCAGAAGAGCGGATATTCCAAATCCCGAAATACCTGTTAGAATACATTTATCTATGGAAAAAGTGCAAGATTTAATTAAAGGTTAGCAAAGTAATTTATAAATACATAAGCCGCGCATTTGAATTGAAATGTATATTTTTTTAAAATGATTTCACAGTTATAACGTCAATTGGGGCAATAGTTGTCGACGGTAGAGTCTATCCTTCGGTTACTCCTCCTACGGAACCAAGTGCACCTACGACACCCTTAAGCGAGCCAATGGAACAAAAGCAGTTAAATACATGTGCAATGAATATAGGCATGGAAAATTCATCTGCGACACAAGCTCTTCGAGCAATATCCCACATAATGCATACATCAATCAGCCTATGAACATTCCCATTACATCTCATCAACAATTAACAATGCAAACTCAACAACACATAGCGAGTCAACAACAAATGCAGGCTCAAACTCAAAATTATATGCAACATTATAATGCACATAATTTGCAACAGCGTTCGTCACCTCAGAATCAGAGGATAGCTACATTTAATGTTAATTACAACGGACATATGCAGCAACAGCAACAAATGATGATGGCTCAGCGTCCAGGACTTGGAAATTGTCACCAACAGGTACACTGGCAATAGATCGAATAGGCTTTGTTTTGTTCATCAAATTTGTATTAATTTTTAAGTTGACATAGTTAATGTAGATTAGTACCATATTATTATTTTTTTTTTTTTTGTTCTTATTTTTTTACTTTTTTTATATATATATATATATATATATATATATATATATATTATATTATATTAATCAAAAACTAATAGTATTAGTAAAGCATTGATTACATTTACATTAAATAAGACATGGAGTTTAATACATAATTTTGAAATATCCAAATATGCTATTTTTCATGCATAAGAACTATCGAATTGAACTTTCAAATTGAACCTAAAAAACATTACAGTAAACAGTACTTAAAAGTGTTAAATTACTTAAATACATGACTTTAAATTAAATAATATGTTAGTGAACATTCGTTTCAATATTCTGCTGTACGGCTTATGAATTAATTTTATATTTACTTGAATTTTTATATTCACTAATGTAATATTTTTAATAAATCAAACACAAAACTGTAATATTTAGATTTTTATTTATTTCCTGAAAAAGCTTATAATAATTTGACATCCTATACTAATTACACTCCTTAATAATACATTAATTACTAGAGAATTAGTTTTATTTGCTACTTAACTCATTACCGATACGAGATAAATTATTTGCCTACACACACGAGACCATTGCGCATCCAAATTAATCGAGGAGACGAAAACGACTTAAGCTTAAAAATGTTCGACTCTGACTCACGCTAAACCAATTCCATTCATAATTAAAGAAATGACATTTTTGTTCTAACAGGTAACTTCGTCGACGCATCCGCATCAGCAGCAGTTACACGTACCTGTCCCCGATCCCCATCTAAATCAAAACGCCAGTCTTCGCGGCTTACTCGCCCATAATCCACCTGCATATAGACCCTCTGCCAATGCAGTGCAGTATAGATTTCCCCCCAGATATCGATACCCCATAAACAACCCCCAGAGACCTATAGGTCCGCTTCAGAACTACCAAGGCAGTACTTCGCTGCTCACTGGAATGCAAATTCGTCAGCCGAGTCAGTCTACTCAGCAAATGCTCAACGTTTATCAGCAGCAACAGCAACAGCAACAGCAGCAGCAACAACAACAGCAACAGCAACAACAACAACAGCAGCAGCAACATCAGCATCAGCATCAGCAGCAGCAACAACAAGTGCAAGCTATGCAATCCGCCCGTTGGCATATTCCGCAAAATGTGAACACTTCCGTACCACCGTCTTACACATCTAGAAGCCCAATGCAACATCAATCCACGTCCAATGTACCTGTCAACGACACATATAAGATCACATTAAAGAATCAGTCCGCCGTGACTATAGCGTCCCATACGGTAAGTCTAATGCAGAGGAGATCGATGTCGACGAGACCATTTTAACTTAAAATTTTTATCCATTTTTGTTGTTGTTTTGTTGTTGTTGTTGTTGTTGTTTTGTTTTGTTTTTTTTTTCTTTCTTTCTTTTTTTTTATTTTTTTAACGATAAAATTTTACGAATTTTAAGTTTAAAGAGAGAAAAACTGGTAATTCCTTAATTCCGAGCTATTGTGCACTTGAAAGTATTATAAGAATAGAATATAGAGTAAGTTTATCGAAAGTCCTGAATTTCCATAAGACGTTGAATAGTTGGTTGATAAGGTTGCCTTAACGGCGTGTGCACATTGTATACAAGCGCTATTATTTATTGTTAAATAGAAAAGTAACAACAATACAGCGAGTCCGCCAGTGAGCAGTGATGCCCCGTCGTCGATTTCTCAAAATTCCACGTCTGTCAGTCACACGGTTAGCTCGTCAATGCCGAAAACACCGAGTCCCGCACCCCATGAAAAGACGGACGAAACGCAAAAGAGCCTTGACAAATTTTGTCAAAAATCATTAAATGATTTGATGCTCACGATCGCCAAATTGGATAGTAATGGCATTATGGTTATTCCGGAGACTCAAAAAAATCAACTGGACTCAGCTCAAGTTGATAGTTCAACGGATGAAGGGATCCATGCTATGACCGACAATTCTTCCGGTAAGAATTTCTCTATTGCATTATTAAAATCAGTTTGACCAATATAGTTTATACATAAATTATGAATTAATAATGTAAACAGACTCGCAGCTAAGCTTCCTCATTTACAATTATTTTTCATAAAAGTTCAAACGAACATCGAGGAAAAGATGTTTTGTCCGTGTACACCGTTTCTCATTTTACTTATCTTTTTTACATTCGTTAACTGCAATTCGATATCTTTTTTATGATCTGTAAAAAAGTAATATCTCTCTTTAACGAAGAATAATGAACATTTATTAAATTTTACATAAGACGTCGTTAATGTGCTCTTTTTAAAAGTGCTGGCCATAAGTGAAACTTGTATATTACAGTTATCTGATTTTATTCTTATTTCGAAGCTGTGAAGTCGTTACGATTTTTTGTATCTATTATCTTTATTTCTTTTTCTTTATCTTTTTCTTCTTCTTCTTCCTCTTCCTCCTCCTCCTCCTCCTCCTTTTCTACTTTTACTTTATCTACTTATTATTATTGTTATTGTTGTTGTTGTTGTTGTTGTTGTTGTTGTTGTTGTTATTATTATTATTATTATTATTATTATTATTATTATTATTATTATCTTTGTTTTATTTATTAATTTAAATTACAAGATTTTGAAATTTGAAATTGTAAAATCTTACAATTTATTAATTGTGTAATTTATAATTTAATAATAAAATGTATAATATCAAAACATGTCGTTTACATGACGCCTTACACTTTTTCGTCTAGTGTAAACATTGAATTTGTACGAATACAATTAAAAAAAGAAAAATCTCGAAGTATTATTACTCGCATTATATTAGGAATGTGTATAACCCTTATTTATAAGTCGTTGGTTCGTTATAATTATTATAACGTCGTTCTATTCGTCGAACGATTTAAGAAATAAAAATATTATTTTGTCATTATTATAAAAACAAGTGAGTTGATTTTGTAAATTGTGATTTAAAAGTTAAATGAAATTTGATTGATTTATTAAAAATAATTTAGCAACATCCATGACAAAAGATGATCCGAACGAAGACTGGTGTGCAGTATGTATGGATGGAGGTGACGCTGTGCTTTGTTGTGATAAGTGTCCAAAGGTCTTCCATTTATATTGTCATATACCGAATTTAAAATCATTTCCACAGTAAGTTCAATCGGAACAAACGGAACGCTTTCATAGTTTTTCCTATTAAAATATTCCTACATAAATGCATTGAGAAGAATATGTACGTTTGTATGCATAATCAAATTATTGAACAATTGGTTGGCTTTATATACATACATACATACATATATACAATCATTCATCCAATCAAAGCATCCAAAATTGAATTAAAATAAAGTAATGATGATGATGATGATGATTATGATTATGAAAACAATACTAAACCTGCGCTTTACTTTCTGCAGTGAAAGTGAAACATGGCAGTGCATGCTTTGCACTAATGTACTTGATTGTTCGGAGGACCCTCCCGGGGAAAAGAGGTCAAACCAATTAAGCGCCCGTGATTTAAGAATAGCTCAGCGAATAGTTTTAGAATTATATTGCCAATACGAACAAAGTTTACCTTTCAGAGAAGTTGTATCACCAGAGGTATATATTTCACAAAAACTCGTCATTATTTTTAATCGCAATTGCATTAAAATTAACTTAAACGCTTTAAGGAATCATATGAAATTTTCTCATTTATCACCGAATTCACGTATTTGGTAGGGAATTTTTAAAAAGCTCAGAATAAGATAGCGAGTAAATTTACTTTCATTATTAACTGTAAAGTTCTTCATCTTTTTTGTTTTTCTTTAAATCTATATTATCTCGCATAAAACAGTCCAAGTTTCTTGCACATTTTTTTTTAACCAAAACTTTTTATTAATAGATTGTTGAATATCATCGAATTATAAAAAAGCCCATTGCTTTAGATATTATAAAAGACAAGCTTAAACTCGAAAATGAAAGTCATTATGTAGACTTAAAACAAGTGATGGCTGATATCAGACTAATGTTTAAAAATGCGTTCATTTATAATCCCGTAAGTAAAACAATTATCACGAGTTATAAGTCCATATTGTTCCGAGTATGTATTTTAAAATATCTATTTTTGAAGGTGGACTCGCAGGTATATCAGGAAGCAAGAAGTTTAGAAGATTTTTTCGAAAAGTTATTATTGAAATGGGCCCCAAGTTACGCGTACGATGATCCGTTCCTCGTCGCAGAAGGCGAAGAAGATGAAGATGTGTTTCCACCGAATAGGAAATACAGACGTGTTGTTAACGATTAGCACTTGATAAAGTGCAGTTAAATAATTTTGTAATATAGAATTGTTAAAATAATTTTTCATATTGACTTTGGGTAAACGCAATTGTTAACAATTACGTATACAATGTATACGTATAGAAATGATAAAATTCTTTATTTTCGATGAATAAAAACCGTTATATCGCTTTTACCGACTATTGATTCGCGTAATTATAACAAATGCGTTTGCTGAATAACGACCATTTACATTGAATAAAATTATGATAACGAATGATACATATTTCACAAGAATCTTGCATGCTTTATTAAGATTTGTAAGAACGATTACAGAATTTAAAAATGCGTCAGAACCAATTTACAATTACGACATACGATGATTCTTAAACTTCTAGAATTCATAATCCTCCACACTTTTAAAAGTCGTACATTTTATTTTTAACCTACACAAGCTGGCCTTGAATTTTTATTAAAACATGCGGTGTTTATGCGGACATAAATTACATTATTACAATTTTTATCAATTAATGCATATATATTTTTATTATCACAGTTTTATCGATATATGATTCGTTTTACGTTAGGGTTGTGTGTTTAAATTTTCTTGCATTCAAACATCATTTTAAACTAGCGTTAAATACTATAATAAATAATTGAAAATTAGTTTTTTCCAATTATAATACAATCCCTTTTAAAACATGTAGCAACTTCATTAGAAACTTATACAAAATTCTTTAAGTTTAAGAAGAAGTATACTTTAGGATTTAGATTCTTTTACGTTATTATTTAAATGCTTTTATTTACAAGTACCGTTTTATGTGAAAATATTGATTTTCGAAAGAAATTAATCAAAAGAGAAAGACATTGTTATTCAAGCAATTGATAATTATTTTTGATGAACAAACTATGTTAAGTGTGAATGTTATTATTGTGTATGATGTACTAATATTTTGAAGTTTTTCAAAAATAAAGTTATTGGCTTAAAATCAAAGTATTTACACTGTGGTAATAATTTATTCATCATTAATTAAACGAGTAAAAAATAATCACCTTTCTCTAATCTCCTAATAATATTTAATATCTTTATCATGATAAACTTACAAGTGTACTTCAATAAAAATAATTATTTACATAGTTAAAAGAATCACATTTAGACACAATCGTACTTATATAATTAATTCTTATTATTTTTTTTAATGTTTTCAAAATAATCAAATTATATAAATGTGCAAATAAAATTTCTATAATCAATGTAATATTTAGTCCAACATCGTTATATTATAAAATATACAGATAAAAAAAAAAATCAAATTCAAATTCAAGCACATTTGAAATTGAGTGACAAGTTAAGATTAATGAAAGTTCCTATTCCGAGATCTGAACTTGAAAAGTGTAATAAATGTTGGATTAAATATTAAATAATTTCGATAATAAAGATAATAGTTTCTCTGATTATGAAATGTTTAAAGTAGATCTATTTTTAAGGTGTTATAGACGTTAATGCTGTCGATTTTTGAGAACAAAATTTACAAGTTGGAACTGCACGCTGAGTCGAATATTTTGCATGTGGACTGTTCATACCCATGCATCGCTGACATAATACGTTTCCACACGACCAACAATGATACTGAAATTTTACAAAACCAAATGCTTAACAAATTGTTATATATGTTAAAGGAATAAGACGTTCTTTTATATAATAAGTGAAAGTTATAGTAATTTATGTCATTTAATAGACAGATTGAAAATGTCTTATTACGGGAACTATACCACCGAAGACTTTATTCCAGATTTTCTTGTAAAATTATAATTTTTTAATTGGTATAATTTACTTAATAAAATTTTAACACACGAATATTTTAATTGAAAAATAATAAGAAAATTTTAATAGATGAATAACATTGAACAAATGCTGTATTTAATAAAAATTAACAACTAGAATAATTATATTGTACAAATATATTTTACCTTTTTATTAAAAGCATCAAAAGTAGTAGCACATTTACATTCACTCATGTTTCTAGAGGATTTCCATTCCAATGCTATGACATTCAATTCGCTAACTAATTCCTTTATTTCCTCTTTATTTCTACTATTTGTATCGTTCTTAATATTAATTAATTTTTCTTTAAGAGGGCATTCCTTTAGATATTCATTGTCTAATTTGCACTTATTTGGAGACGTTAGCTCTATATTATTTGATGTATTTAATTGTCCTATTGAATTTATCCTCTGCAAAATAAAATTTTTTTTTTTTATAAAACATAATAATGCCATAGATCTTAAACACTATTATTAAATACTTAATAATATAATCTTACTTTAGCAAGAAATTTATTATGATCTTCTATGGAACTGATATGGTTGTTCATTGTTAAAAGAATATCTTCGTAAGATTCCCTAGGATGAACACCATTTTCAAATCTGAAGTAAAGTCCTCGCCACAATCTATAATGAATTAAACGGTACGTGAAAAAGTGTTTACATACTTTTTAATATAATACTCGTATACACTTACACAATACTTTGCGGATAAAGTTTTGGCTTAAGAATGCGACTAGTTTCTTCTTTATATTGGATACTTGAATACAATGGATTTATAAATTCATTTATGTGCTGAGCCATATAGCCCCAGAGGCAATAGGTTCTTTCTGAAAGTCTAAACGATATTTGTAAAATAAAATATTTTTATATCTACTAATAAATACTTAATACTGACTTTAAAAATTGTCTATCTTTTTCGCAATTTCCAATAAATGTTCCATGCTGGCAGCTGTGTACGTGATCATGTAGCGTAACCAAATATTGTTCATTAAATTGGAACATATAAGGAAATTGTTGCAGAAGTTGGTAAATTGCATCGATAAATTGGGTGAATATTGGTGCTAATTCTTTACCATCAGCGTTTGTTACAAATCCACAACGATCGTTAAATTTATGACCGAATGCAAGCCAATCTTTTTCTATTAAAACCTATAAATTGGAAAACAATTTTTTTTTTTTCTTACTTATTATATTATATTGTATTATAATTAATTACAGTAATAATATAAAGTATTCACTTGGAAACCATGAATAGTTCTATAAAACGGATCTAACATTAAAGCAGCCAATGAACAAACTTGTGCCGTTCTGTCCCATCCATCACTACAATGTACCACGACACTAATCCCATTAGCTACATTACGTGCTATAAACCAAGATGTTTCTAGTATTGCACGAATGTGTTTTAGCCATCCACTGCTTTCGAGTCCGCTGAGAAATTCATTCATCGAGGTGATTTTTTGCACTACACGGAGTAAAATATTAATGTGAAGAAAAAAAAACGGCATTTATTATTAAAATACATTTAAACTTTACATACACTCGATTAATTTAGTTAAGCTTGATCTCATAACATGAATATTTTCTATTCCAAAGAATTGAAATTTAATATTATCATAAAAATTTTCATTTTCATAGCCTTTTCCCGCAGCACGATTAGCCATAGCATTAATCTGTATATGAAATATTAAAAGAATATTTGTCCTTAAAAATGGTAAATAAAAACTGCGATATAAATAAAGAAACTCAATAACTTACTCGCGGTCTTGTATCAACTACGTAAAGGTATTTTGAATTGGGATTTGTGCAAAGTAAATAGTAAAGCATTTGTTCATCCTTTAAACAGCGAGCATTAAAGCCAGACAATGGTTGACTGCATCGGCAAATGGATGCCTGCAAAAATTTTAAATTATTTTATGTTCGTGTTATATAATAACATACATATATATATATATATATATATATATATATATATATATATATATAAATAATAATTCTTATTTCGTTCAACTAATTTATCGATAAATTTTAAAAAGTAAAAGATTAAAGAAATTATAATCAATTATAATAAATATGACTTATGGTTAATTTCACAAACTTTTCAGTTTAAATGTCTTATTATTTACCTTATTGTTATATAAATAAGTTAATACTGGTAGTCTTCCTTTACTACGAAATTTAGCACTACCCATTAATACAGTGTTACTGCATGAACTGGGAACATAGATATATTTTGGGTAAGTTTCGCAGAGCTAAAATTAAAAAAAAAAAACAGTATTAATGGAATAATACTTAAATAATAGTTAAAATCTATTATCTACTCATCCTTACATATCATATTATATATTTTCTTATTTTATATTACTTAGTTAACATTTGTTTAATATTGCACACGGCATACATTGGTAAAAGCATTTGAACTGGTTTAGTGAATAATACAATATACGGATGTATAATTACATAAATTCATTTATGCTGTTTAATTCATATTTATATTTTATAATATTACACATAGATTTTTTTTATCTTTCCGTTGGTTTAAAGTTTTGAATGAATTTTATTATGAATAAATAAGCTTTCTGTTTTGAAATTGAATATACATTTATGAATGGATAACAAAAAAAAGAAACCCATGAACATTAAATTTATTTGAAAATTAATAGAACAATAACCTCGTGATTCACATTAAGATAAGACAGTGACCATTCTTCATTTGGAACACCTTGTCTTTGAAATTCATCTTGAATACTGAAAAAGTTCCAACCAAAATCTTGTGTAAGTCTCTCGTTATTGCCCTTATAATTAAAACAATATAAGTCTTCTATTCTTGCTATAAATTAAAAATTGGCACAATTAATGCAATTGTGAAATTTAAATTAAATGCAATTAATAGTGAAAAATGTGCGCATTAGCCTTTATATATTACTTGGAAACGATAATCTTAATAATGTTAAAAATACTTCGTGACAGTCTCGTTCTTTTGGTATTATAAATGTAACGACGAAAAAATTTTTACACTTAATACGAAGTGGAGAACCAATTGAGAGTAATGGCAATTTTTGCGTATTGGCGACATGTGAATTTAGAACCTGAAATATTATAAAATAAGTATTTTCAGTTATTAATAAAATGCATAAAATATAAATATGTTACCCAAATTTTCTTCTTGCCATTTAATTCCATAAAGATAAAATGTGTTTCAGTTAAATAAAATGTGCCTAAAGTATTTTTTAATCCATATTTGTCGGGCATTAACACATTTTCTACCTGAAATACGAATGAATTAACGTATGAACATATATTTACAATAATTTTAATACAAATAATTGTTAAACGAAACGTAATAATAATAATGAAAACAGAGTTGTTAATTGCAGCCGTTGAAATAAATAAATGAAATTAAAACCTTTTGAACTTTTATAACGTCTGAAACATTCATTTTTGTTAAATAAATAAGCTTTGATGATTCTATGTAAACTATTTCTATATTAAAAACAGTTATAAACAGCAGGCGGTCAGCTCTAACTAATTACAAAAAAAAATACGTTTTTTATTTTACTCATGATGAAGATAAAATTGTGATATAAAATTAGGACGACAATTCACGAATGCATGTCCTTTAAGTCTATAATATGATTATTGCAGTTTTTTAATTTGATATGGACATTTTCTTTCTTTTTTTTTACTAAAACACTTCATAGTACATTATCTTATTGAGAAACTTTATATTTCTACAATTCTGTGTTATCGACTTGTTGGCTCATTCATACCAATATTAACATTTTGTCGAGACAGCGCTTAATTCAAATATCATATTAACATTTTCATAATATTCTTATAAACAATAAACATTTTATCATTATAATTTATTAAAACTTTTTTTTGTCTGTTTGTTCCCTATAAAAATAATAAAATACTATTATTATATAGAATGGCAGTTAAAATTTCGATTAAGCCCGTGTGATCGGGGCACGGGACAATTAAAATTTAATCTTTTAATAAAAATATAAACCCATCCCGGATTAAAACATTCAATTAAAATAAATGACGAAAATATACGTACAAGGAATATTAATGGATAATTAAATTTAGTGAACTCATTTTTTGTATGGTAGCACTGTTTATAATAAGAAAGAACTCTAAGAACTCTTATGTACACTATGGCGGCGTCAAAGGACAAAAAAATTAAGGTTTTTCTGTCAGTTTTCTCTTTATCTGTGAGCTGATCTGTGCAAGTGTTTGTTTATACCACACAAAGAGTTGAAGCTGCCATTTGGTTATCTCGTATTTGGAGCTCACATATTTTTCATTTTAATTTTGTGCTGTTCACCGCAACAATGAAAAATTCGACGGCTAGAATGCATTTTATAAGCCAATTTGTCGTGTATTACCTACCGAATTGTACGTAGCAGCTGCTCAACAAGTAATTGAGAATGTCCGCGTAAAACACATCAACGATCGCCATAATTATATTATAGTATTGCAAAATATTTCATCGAAATAATAATATTTTAATGTTAAGTATACATAATTTTTTGAAGATAATAAATAATCGAAATTATCCTTACATTCAAATAAAAAATAAGTTGAAATTAGAGTTTTATTAATTACAAGTATATTAAGGTATTGTATTGTTAAAGTGACAATAAAAACTGTTTGTTAATCCTTAATAAAAATAAAAGTTGTGTTGAAAGAAGTTGTTTTTTTTTTTTTTTTGTGCTAGATGTTCAGCTCGATTCAAATAAAACAGGAATACAATAGCGTGGATGATAGAAATCAAAATATGGTTGGTGGGCAAGGAAATATTGATTATTCTGTATTTAATAATCAAAATGTTGAATACACATACCATCAATTGCCACATTTTTGGGATCAAGCGCTCCAAGTTCAAACTAATCAATATCCTAAAGATTTTTCCCAAAAAGTTGATGGGATTTCACGACAGGATACACCTCGAGTTAATGTTAGTAAAATAGACAATTTGAACATGTATTATTATATTTAAAATAATCAATCTATTTAAAATATGATTTTTTTCTTTATATAAAGGTATAACAAATTTCAGTTAAGCCAATATTTCACTTGTTTCTTCCAATGGAATAACTGACGTACAGTCCTAATTAGGTCAAATGATTTTTTATATATTTAATTATTATAATTGCTATTTTACTAATATCAACATTTTTAATTATTTTATAACTATGGCCTAATTATAGTCTTTTAAGGATTTATATAAAATTTAAATGTAAAAATGAAGCCTTGTATAAAAATGAATTTTCTTTATATTTTCAGCAAAGCATACCTTCGAATTACATAAATCATCATATACAACAATATCAACAGCAGCAGCAACAACAACAACAACAACAACAACAACAACAACAACAACAACAGCAGCAGCAGCAGCAACATAATTCCTTCACTGCAAATCAACAAACTGACGAAGATCAGTCTCAAATAAATCAAATAAATCAATCAAATATGGAAGCTGGACGCATAGAATCTAGAGTTACTCCTTCTATCAACAATAGTACTTTAATAAGTCCATCGCTTACAGCGTCTCAATCAAGTTCTTCAATTATTAAACGTAGTACTCCTGGTAGACCATCAAAATCGACAAATTCGAGCGGCAGTCCTGGAAAAAAACTTAAATGTCAATGTGAAATTTGTTTTAAAGAGTTTGGACATAAAAGTAATCTTTTTATTCATATGAGAACTCATAATGGCGAAAGACCATATAAGTGTAAACAGTGTGATAAGTGTTTTACACACAGTGGAAATTTAGCAATTCATATGAGAACGCATTCTGGAGAAAGGCCATATGCTTGTCAGGTTTGTGGAAAGATGTTCAGTCACAGTGGAAATTTATCTACACATTTACGAACACACTCTGGTGTTAAGCCTTACAAATGCAACGTTTGTGCTAAAGAATTTCGCCATAGTGGAAATCTTTCCATACACGAAAGAATTCACTCTGGTATCAAACCTTTTCAATGTAAAGTTTGTGGCAAAGAATTTTATCACAGTGGAAATTTAACAACGCATATGAAAAAACATCCAGTTACTATTTTAACTGAACAAGGTGAAAACAATGTAATTCCTTTGAGTACAGAGTATACCTGTAGTAATGCTGACAAAGTTAAGGAAGCTGATTCAATATTAATTTCAAATTCAAACGATTTGGATAATACGATACAAAGTTCAAGTGATGTGGTAGCAGTAGATGAGTTAGATAAAGAATCAAAAACAAGCTAATAGATTTAAGATTTGCTTCTTAAGCTATAATGTATCTTTTAAGCAGGGAATAGTTGCCTATTTTTATCATTAATTTCAATTTTTGTAGAAATAATTCAGTTTTTATAACTTTTCGTTTCAAAAATTATAAGCCAATAGCTTGCACAATGCTAAGAATTATAAATGATTTCTTTTTACCAATGTAATAATTAAATTACATTAACTTATTAGCATCAGTATATCGATGGTTACCAAATACTGCCTTTTCTACCAAAGATTGAAATTAATATTTAAACAAGCTCTACTCTCTGAAAATAATTCTTCATACAAATAAATTATTGTAAGAGTCAATTTACATAAATAAACTTTTAGGTTAAAGAATATTAAAAAAATTTTTGTACTTTTGCTATTGTGATACTTATGAATTTGGTTACTTATAATAAGATAGAAATAAAAATAAAAAGCAAATATTAATATTACGACCATTAAATATTAATGGTTTAAATAATTAACATATAACTAAAATATATATAGATAAAATACAATCTATCTTGTATAATGAATGTTATTTAATGTAATTATATAATTGTTTTATTTTGTTGTATTAAAATTGTAAATTATTATTATAGATATCACTATCATTAAAAAATATTAAATAATGTCAAAAATGTCTTAACATATATTTAAATATATAAAAATTATATGTAAGATTAATTCTTTCATTAAAATAATTTTTATTGTTATTCATCTGTATAAAATATATGTAACTTTTAATATTTTCTAATAATTAAAAAAAATATCTTAAAAGTAAACTATATCTCAAAGTACAACTTGCATAATTCATCATGAAATACATGTATTCGTGACATTTTCAAATAGAAAATGTCACAAAAATTATGACTAACAAATATTTATATTATTTTTCTTCAATTCCTTATTAAAGAATTAAATTCACACTGGACTAAAACACATCACTATTGAATAAAAAACTATGTACAAATAATTCTCAGTATTGACTATCAATAAACAAAAATTTCAATGCTGAAATTTATCAGTATTATAATCCACATCGATACCATTTCAACTTTAAAATTATACTATTACAATAAAATAGATAATACCCTTTCCCTTTCTTAATTTTACACAATTAAAAATTCTTGCTAATAAATATCAATAAAATGGTATTGATGATTATTGATTAAAAAAATAAATTTTCATAATACTGTACAAACATCTGCATTTAGCATTAAGATATACTTCATTTTTTAAAGCTTATTTCAGTAGATTTCATCTGCTGGTTTGACAAATAAAACTGTCAATGCAAAGATAAGAAATACAATTCCTCCAATAATTGTTACTGAAATTGAAAAAAAAAGAATTTTAATTCATTAGCTGTTGCTAATACTATAAAATGTTACTATAAAACTAATACTAACCAGTTCGCACTGATATTCTTTGTGCAATCATGCGACCACCGAGAATAGCTAACCCAGTGCAAAAAGAATGTCCTAAAACTCCACCAAGTACAACACCAAAAACATCCTAAAAATGTTTAATATTACAATGAAATAATGCTTCTTCCATTACTTTAAATATCATATAATCACAATTATATGTTGTATATAATTACGAATTTAAGTACTACCTCTCGTGCTGCAAGAATTATCGTTGTTAATTGAGAACGATCTCCCCATTCAGCCAGAAACGTAAGAGAGAATGCTTGTAGAAATATTCTTGAAAGTACTACAAGAGTACTTATTTTCTGAGATTTCCTAATAATACCGGTTTCAGGATCTTGAACGAGCGTAGAACTGCTTTCTTTTTGAAACTAAAATATTAAAATATTGATGGTAGCAAGAATAAAAAAACTTATATAGTTTTTACTTAATGATTTTACAAAATCTAGAAAACATTTAAAGTTTAAATAACAGAACAAATATTTTTTTTTATCTTACTTCATCTTCTCGCTTTCTAAGATCTGATTGTACTTCTTCAAGTTCTTCTTGACCTTCGTTTGGTGACATATAATATCCATCTTTTAACATTTTTAAGCCAAATAAAGCGAATAAAGCTGTGGAAATATAATAAGTGTAAGCTCGTGGAATTATATTAGCTGCGTATCCAAAAATAACTGTAAAATAATTGAATATTAAATTAATTCATTTGATAAAGTTACATAAAATCATAATTATCAAAAATACCTGATAAAATAGTCATAACTGTAAGAGCACTAATTGCACCACAAAATATAATTAGCCTGGGGTGTCTCATAGCCATTATTGCAGCAATAAAAAATGTTTTATCGCCTAATTCGGAAACTAGAATTACTGAAAGAGTTGCTACAAAAGCATGAAAAAATCCCATATTTTCCAATGAATTAATTGGCGTAACATTTTCAGTTTTCTAAAATTTTGTATTATAAAGAAGTATTAGATATATTTAATTAAATTATTAAAAAAAAATTTAAATACAACATTTTTGACACTTTATACTTACAAATGAAGCTATAGAAGATTGTAATTTCTCTACATCTGATGGCATTTTTTCTCCACAAGTTAAATAATATACAAGATGAAAAAAAAGTAAATATAAATAAACGTTCCAACGATCAATCATATTTAATGTAATTACCATCAAATTATACTATAGCTTAAAAAATATACTTTGCAACAAAAATTTCTCAATATATTATTGTAAAAAAAAATTGAACAAATCAATCAAATGATAGTCAAATGCAAGTTTTAAGGTTAAATTTTCATAATTCGTCAAAAAAAGGGTAAATGCAAAACTACTAAAATAAAATATACTTCAGCACAAACATTTTCAAATTTAATTAAGAAGAACTTAAATAAGAATCATTTTAACTTATAAGCAAATCTGCACATATGGAGATATTTGAAAATCTTGATTGGTAAGCTATAAACTAAATTATCACAGAATGAGGTTATAAATATACAGCCATCCTTCTTATTACGAACATGTAACCATCAGTTATAATAATATTATTTTCATACTTTAATATATTAATATAATAATTTCTTTTTAAAGTCTTTATTTATTAATTGAATAGATAAAATAGTTTATCTTGCATTTGACTTTTATTTAAGGATACCCAATTTAGAAGATATGTTAAATGATAAATTTCTAAATGATGAACGCTTGAAGAATGAAAGTTCAATTTATAATATTTTAAATGGAAATTTTTACGATCCATTTTATGATATCAAGCCACCTGATTACAAACCAATACAAGAAAAGATCCAGAAAAACCAAAAAACCAATACTAGCAGCAGCGAGAAACGTAGTGTAAAGAAGAAAAAGTTTAAAACAACAAAGAAAAAGAAAAAGAAAGATTCTTAGTGTGCATACAGATTAATTGTAAGAAACAATTGTTTAATGTAACTAGCTTAAAATCAAATTTCATTGAATAATTGTACTTTTGCATTTAAAAATATTGTGATTAAGAATATATTTATATAATATTACTTTTTTCTACTTAGAGTTTCAGAATTAATATTTTGTTATAATTTGTTCATGAGACTACTTTGATTTGAAATAGTAAAGAAATAATTTAATTTTATAGCTTAAAAGATTAGTTATTTATAATATAATATAAAAATGTCAAAAATATTATATCTCTATTGATATTAAATAAATATACTTGACATGCATTGAATTTAAGTAAAAAAATATTATAATTTTTTTCGGAAGATGATTGTTTTTCCATTGATAATATAATATTAACCGATCTTTCTATGTAAATATTTTGTAATATTAAGTAATGAAATAAAATTGTCATTTGGTAAATATAGAATTATGCGATTAATTAAGAATTATATCATTTAAGTATAAATCTACTTTAAAGTTATTATTAAGTACGATCAATCACACTCACGAAATTAGAAATAATAATTTTACCAATAAAGATATTGGTACGAAAAGTAGTTTAATATTATCAATTATTCTGATTTTAATTATTGTAATAAAATATTTTTTATTAGTCAATAAAATTGTACTCTGGTTCCAAATTAATATACTAAATGAAATATATTCAGTTTAAAAGAAATTGATTGGTCCAATATGTTATTCAAATTAAACTTATTGTTAATATTTTTAACATATGTACAAAAAAAAGATTTAACATTAAAATGAGCACATGCATTATTTATTACATATATTAATATTTAATCAAATTTATTACAATGATTTAGAAAAGAAATTGTGAAATGGTTTTTATGGTAGAATATTTTTTAAAAGATACTCTGTAGCTCTGCCGCGAGGTATTAACTATTTATTGACTTGGAATAAAAAGGATTAATTCCCGTGAAAGTATCAACATAAAAACGTAGAGAATTTGAAAAATATTTTTCGCAAGCTTAATAAGAAAATTATTCTGAAATTGAATTAATAAAAAATTGAATGTAATTAATTATTGATATATAATTAAATAAAGCCATTTAATATAAAACACATTTTCAAATGTTAAAACAATATAAGCAAAGATATTTCTTTGCAATATGATTTAACATTTTAGTTACCCCGATCTACACTCTTGGCTTGATTTTAATTTTTAATTAGCAGTTTATCATTCTTTAAACGATTGTTACGTCAGTTTGGTCTAATAATACTACTTAATAAATTTCATATTGTACTGCATAAATTATCATTAAAAATAAAGACGATAATATGGTCGTGTATAGCGAGAAATTTACCCTTTAACTTTGGGAAATTCACTTTTCAAAAAAAAAAAAAAAAAAAAAAAAAGTTCACCTCTTTTTCAGCTCCATCTTCTTCTACTTTATTTTGCATATTATAATGACGTACGTCTTCGATATCATTTTAGATAGTTTTAATAATCTCGTTACGAATATGCAGAAGACCAAAGGCCGGGATGCATACAATTTTACTAATGTCATTTATAAAAATTCCATCTACTAATTATATTTCAAGCATAAAACGTCGATTAATAAATTCCATACCAATTTTGAATATAAGCATAATTTTATAGAATTTTATAGAATCTCAAATTTTTCAAATAATTCTTTGAGTTAATATAAATTTTTTTAGTTAATAATTATTAAATCCAATTTGTTGCACTTTTTACGCACGAATCTTATACGCGATCGTTCCTTTCCTATAATGCCAATTAATTATCAATAGCTAAGCGTATTATTTATTCACTTTGATAACGTACTTAAGATGAAATAATTTTACTTTCTTTTTAATTCATTGAAATTTACAAAAATTGCTCAAAATTCATTGTTGTCGTTGTCATTGTCGTTGTTGCTGCTGCTACTACTGTTACTATTTTGCCGCTATTGTCGATTCAAATATTAATCATAATTAATATTTAAAACTATAAAATTTAAAAACCAACGATATCAGATCGAATTTCCATCCAATCAAATAATTGTGGAATCTTACGATTTGTGTAGAGGAAGAAATATTTTGCTTACACACTTCACGACTTAAACTTTATTTTATGACTCGATTGACATAATTTTACGTAATTAGTCGGGCCCCGGGTGTGATAATCCTTAACAATCGAACGATTAAAATGCATTTAGCTAAGAAGTCTACTTCTTCTCCAACTCGTACACTTTGAGTAAAATACCATTCCTCGATCGGTAGAATACTACAGCTGCCAGTAATGGTTTTTATAATTTCTGGAGGTTGATTTTGTGATAAAACAAAAGAAAGAAACAAAAATGCCCGAAAAGTCGCGCTTCGTGGCCGCGGTCACTTTGAATTCTCAACGATCTTATCATCATATCATTGTTACGCGGCCAAATACAGAATCCAGGGTCTAGTTAAACCTAACTTATTCCATAATTTTGTTCATCAGGAGAAAAAGAAGAAGAAAAAACAGAAAATGTAACGAATAAGAACTAAGATGGCTCACGCCTTGATTTTATTGTGTCGTAGGGCCCATTCTTATCTATCCTCCTGAGCCTCCACCAGCGTAAATCCAAGTCGGAGCAATATTTTATTCGCCTTCCCGTGCCAATTGAACTTGGAATATTTGTTCATATTGTTATTAGGTCACCGGCAACCGGTCACCACCACAGCCGTGCTGCTGCACATGCCGAACCGCGTATTAAAAATAAACACGACGCACTCACTGGCAGTGACGGAAGATGTGCCATATCACAGTCGACGACCTCGCAATGGCTATGTTAATGTATTTTTGCACACAGGCCAATAATTCACCTTCGTTAAGAATTCGCGTCTCGTGGAAGATCCCCTCCCTCGCAATTGATTTTGTCTCAGGTACCCTTGTCAAGTTACGAGTGCAGTGCCTTTGTGCGCTCGAGACTCGAGAGGATGCGAGCGGGTGCATTATCATCCCGCGGGAAGAGATCCCCAGGCCGCGTGTGACTCGGGGTGAACGATGCGTGCACTGCTCGGACTTGGTCGTATCCACGTTGGGGGGTCGTCGCTGCTTCGCGAACGTCTCGGCGGAGTGCGTGGAAGGAGGCGAGAGGCAGCCTGAGAAAATTACTCGACTCGCTCTTGCCCGGGGCTCCTCCACGAGTGCGTTGGTCCCAGTTTTATGCTTCAAAAACGCAGCAAAAAAGAAACAAAAAAGAAACACGGAGGTTTTTACGAGCGCGGCGATTGCCGGCGCCCGAACGCGTGTATCATCATTAGACTCTAGTCGACGCCGGTGTCTCCTCGTTATCCCGTCTTTGCGCGGATCTGCGATGCGAGCGCGACAGACAGACTCGTTTCTTTTATTTTCATTGCATTGATAATTATAATGTAACGATAATGTTAAGCGTAATTGGTATGTGTAGTAGTGACCGTTTGCAAGCGCCAATTTCCAAGGTGCTTCGTGCAAAATGTGGCACCGCCGTCGTATTTACTCCGCCGAACACATTTGTGCGTTTACATATAATACACGTCGCATGCGTCTCGGGGAACTGCATCGCTTTTATAAACGAAAATTTCGTTTACTACGTAATTAATTAATAGTCATTGGTTTAGCGTTGCATAAGCGAGTGCGTGCGTGCGTGAGTGACGCGCGTCGTATAGCATAGAACGCAATTGTGTGCGAGCCGACGGTCGCGAGCGTATGGGCTTCGCATGCGCGAGTGCCATACGTGCGCGCGCGCGCATGCGCCATCATCATCCGCAGACCGCAATGCATTGACAAGTTTACTCCTTCGACTGCATAGTATCTACTATGTGTGCGAAGCGTGTATGTATACGCGGGTGAGTTGCAACACACGATTATCGGCAGCATCGACGCGGATGCAGTCGGGCGATGACATAGACGCGCTCGTCGAACTTTTTGAACAAAGACCACGCGTTGCATTCTATAACCTTGTGTGTTGTTTTTTCCGTTCGCGGGGAAGATTATAAAGCAATATTATTATGTGAGTGAAAGCCATCGCGCGAGGCTTCGGGCAGTGCAAAGTTTCGTTAAAATGTTTGATCTCGTGCGTGTGAGTATGATAAATTTGTCGTTTTAGATGGGACGGCTTTGTTTTTTTGTTAGAGGAGGTCGTAGAGCGCAGCTGAGCACTGCAATGCAGTTGAGTTGAGTCAGATGAGGTTGGAAATATGTGTGTAGATAGTTTTAGACTTTTTTTATAAATGTTTTTTTTTTCGACGATGGTTGTTGAGCAATTATTTCATCTTTTTTTTTTTTTTTTTTTTTTTTTTTTTTTTTTTTTTTTGTGATCGTTATTATTATTTTTATTTTCTTAATAAACATCGTATAATATTAAATGTTCTCGATCATGCTGTTTTTTGTGTTCAACATTTTGAACAATTAATCAATCGAATGTAACGAATTAAGAAAAAACTAATTTATCATTTGTACAAATAACATGTAATATAATGTAATTTGCAGTTTTTGCATTCACTTTAAATGTCAGTGTGTGTCTAATGTCTTGCACCTTGATGTCTTATACTGTATCCATTGACAATTCTGCAATGAGATCTTAAAAAAATATTTAAAGTTTTAGGCTCGCTCCAGATCACATATAACAAAATTTTAGTCATTAAAATTCTAAAAATAAATTTAATTTTAATTTGTTCTCTTAGTTTGGCATGTCATATACGCATGCATGTGCATATGGCTGTGCGTGCGCGTGTGCGCGTGCACTCGCGCGCGCGCGCCTATCCATGCATATAAATAAATAGATAAAATCGAAATTTTTAAATATTATTTTCTTAATATTTGCAAAAAATAGTCTATAAACAATTTTATTGTGATAAAAAATGATTTATTCCTTGATTAATCATAGTGGAATGAAGCAGAATAGTTTAGAAAATTAAATTTTTTTATTTATTTATTTTTTTTTATTTTATTTTTTTTTATAGAGTTGTGATACTAGCAAATACATGGATTAGGTATAAATGCCTTTTACCATGGATCAAAAACACCAAGATGTCTTAAGGCAAATGCGACAGAACATAATCGATGACTTGGATGTTTACAATGGAATAATATTGCCTTTAACAACCGAATATATTTTAAGAGAAGAAGATGTAAATGATATCAAAAGGGGAAAAACAAAGGAAGAGAGGGCTCAGATGTTACTAGATTTACTTCCCAAGTATGTTTTATTTAATAGCTGTTTTGTTTAAAAAATTATTTTATTTAATAATTATGTTTACCAATTTGTTTTGCTTGAATATATGTATACAATTTAATAAAATTGCCAAAATAATTAATAATTGTAATTACAGTAAAATCATTATTCCCTGTATTAGTTTAATGTATAATGTAGCGTAAAATCATAAATATTCAAATATTTTGCCTTTGTTTTATAGACGTGGATCTCATGCATTTGAAGTCTTTCATCAATCATTAAGACATCAATATTGGTGGTTAAGTGATGAAATTGATAAATTACTGGAACCAACTGCATCTGGGATTACTTCCAGTGACACCCTATTCGTTTATCCAAATATGCAACCAGTATCGCCATTAACAGTAACAAGAGATGAAATGGTAAGATTTAAGATTTGAAATGATTTTTATTAAATTTAAGTCTTTGAAATAACTACATAATAATATATTGGAACTTATATTATTCTTTCCTCTTATGCTTTTGGAATAATCGATGTAAGTTTTTCTTCTCATTTTCTTAAATGTTGCATTCATATAAGTACTAATAATACTAGTAATTAAGAATCTGTTTCCATTATTAATTGTTATTATTTCATAAATAGGTGGAAAAGTTGAAAAATGCATTATGCGATTTACAACCTAACGGATATATAGCTCTTCATGGAATGAAAGGTTTTGGAAAGTCTTGTCTTACTGCTAGTACACTAAAGGATAAAAATTTGACATTGAAACTATTTAACGTAAGATAAATATAATTTTTATACTAATAAAATAAATAATAGCCAAATTATTTTGTAATTATATAGCAAATTCAATTTGTTATTGTATTAGGTTGTCATTATTTTTTTTCATCATATACACAGAAACAATAATTAAATAAATTTCTTATTTTAATTTGTGATCTATAATGTACTGTAAGAGAAAAATGTATTTTTCTATTTTTAAGTCTCATGAAATTATTATTATTAAAATAATCGTAAATTATAGTTGATATAAAAGATTTTAAATATAGTTATAATTATGTTTTAAAGGCAGAAATTTTATATAGTCTTAAAAAGAAAATGTCTTTAATGATTTTTATTATTTTACTTATATTTAAAAGTAATAGAAATTTTATTTACATCGTAATATAATTAATTGAAATAAAAATAATGATTACAAAATGATTGTTAATATATTTTTGAATTTGGTTTTATGAATTGTTTTTCCAATGATTCTTACATTTTACAACTGTTACTATTGTAAACATAAATTAATCAATTATTACTTTACAGAACGAAATTTATTGGATTAAATTTGGATACAAACGTAGTATTAATGAAGAAATACTAATTCAATTAAATAATCTTTATCATCAAATTAAAAATTTAAATACTTTAATAGAGACTGTAAATTCAGAACCACTGGAGAAATCGTTAAAGCAAACATTAGAAAATCATTTCAGAAAACCAGTTCATCAGCATGCTTTATTAATTTTAGATGATGTTTGCCATAAAGAAATTGTTGATAAATTTGATTTTGCATGTAAAACACTAGTTATAACTCCTGACATTGGAGTATTAAGTAAAAGAAGTTATATCGTTGTAACTGTAAGTTTATTCGTTTTAATCTTAATAGTCATAGTATTTAATAATAATTAGGATTTTTATAATATTAGATGGATCATGGCTTTACCGAAGGGGAAACTTTAGGCCTATTCGCTAAAGTTCTTGATATCAGTGTTGATCGATTACCTTTAGAAGCAAGATTAATTCATGAAGAATGCAAAGGAATGCCATTACTTATTGCTATGTTTGCTGCACAATTTGAAAACTTTAAACATGATATGAAACACCATAATGGACGATGGGAATATTATCTCAATTGCTTACGCACTAAAAATGCAAAAAACAAGTATGTAACTATATTATTTTTAAATACTTATTCTACTGGTATTTATGAATAAGAATAATAACTATTCTATTTCGTTACAGAGTTATCGAAGAATTTATGAAGATTCAAGAAGCAACGTTTGACATGTGTATCGATCAATTGAAAAAAGAAATGAAAGAGCGCTATGAAAATCTTGCTATATTTAGCGAAGATGTTAATATAATGCCTAAGGTAATAAAATATTTGAGTACGCGTTAGTTACTAATTTTTTTCACATCACATTACTCTACATATCATTTATAAATCAATAGTTTCAATATTACTTTTATGTTATTAATTTTAGACTTTAGAAATTTTATGGGAAGAGGAACCATATTCTGTCGATGATCAAATGTTAGATTTTTGCCATAAATCACTAGCTGCAAAAAAATGGAACGACGATTTACGAAGCTATATATATGGTGTTCATGATTTGTTATTGTGCCATCTTAGAAAGAAGCTAACCTCTACACAATTACGAGATAAGCACAGGGTATTCATTGAAAAATATAGAAAATATTGTAATGGAGATTTTTCAAAATTACCAAATGACAATTATAGTTTATCTTACATTGGGCACCACCTCGAGCAAGCAGAAATGTTTGAAGAGTTTGCATCGCTGTATATGAATTTTGATTTTCTTCAAGCAAAGATTAATTACACCGGTTTGAGTGATTTGTTCATCGATTTAAAAAAATATAGAAAATACATAACAAATAATGGAGATAAAATTATAGAATCAAATCTTGTAGATCTAGAAAAATTTTTAGAGAGTCAAGCAAATACCTTAGCAAAACATCGACTTATGAAGTGCTTAGATTTAGTTCAGATTGCTTTAGATCATCCAGATAAAGGATTTGTTAAAGATACTGCTAAAAGATTAGCTTTATCTAGATCATTTTCTCTATACTTATCTCATCAAAGAAATGTCATGACTAATCCGTACTTGAATTTTTGCGAAGAAGTCATCACTAATGCAAGCACTGTAGTCTTTACTAATGAACCAAATCACATATTAGTTGGAAGTCACGATGGACAAATAATTCTTTGGGACTGTGACAATCGTAAACCAAAAATTTTTAGCGGTCATAATAAAAAATATGCTATTAAAAAAATTGTTTTATCTTTGCCTGGTGATTACTTTCTGGCGTTGAGTGAAGATGGTGTTTTAAAATTGTTTGCATTGAGTGAAAATGAATATACAAGTAATGGCCTGAACATTCCCGTGCAAAATCCCCGCCATAAGCAAACATTTTGGACTGGCTTCTTTGAAACTACGCACGATGATAGTTTGAAAACATTTTCTGTTCATAATGAGATAATTACTGACATGAAATTTGCCCAAACAAATAATAAAATTGCTGTTTGTACAACTGTAGGAACTGTAATGGTATGTATAATTGTATTTAAATTCGAAAAAAAAAAACAAGATTGTTTTGTTGATAAATAATTATATTACGCACATTAAATCGTTAATATATGTTTTTTTTTTTTTTTTTTATAAATTAATAATAATTAATTTTATCATTTGTTTTTTAGTTGTGGGATGAAAATGGAAATTTTGAGTGGCAAGACAAGTACAAACAGTTAGTAAATTTTATTTATTACATGAATTATAATTTTTATTTTGACAATTTAAACAGTGGTCTGTATAATTTTTATTAACTTTTTAGTCATCGTTTTGGAGGTGTATCTTTTACTACAATGGACAATTTACTTCACGTAATGGATGAGACAATTTCTGTTGTTAGAATTTACAAAAAGAACCAAGAACGTGGTTATACATATGTTTCTCAATTTAATTTACAACTTAATAATCCAAGAGTCATTTATTTTTCTAAACATCCAATGGAAGATAATTGCTTAGTTATTGTCACTGATAAAACAGCCTTATATTTCAAATGGTTCTACAATAACAACGAGCATATTCATAGTTACGAGAAATATATAAAAACCGAAGAAAAAAATAAACATACACATTATGTTGCCGCAACATTAACTTACGATGCAAGATATTTAATTATCGGTAACTCAAAAGGCATAATTAGTGTGATGAAGGCATTTAATCCTGATGATTTGATAACATATTTTAAAGGTTACGTTACATCATTGGATTCATATTGGATGGATTACGAAGATTTTCATTTAGTGAGAAACGTCAAATTTGATTTATTCGTTAATTTTTAATCATTTCGAAAACTCGTTTCATTATTTTTCATTATTTCAGATATGTGGTAGTGAGAAAAGATGGATTTATAGATGGAGAATTGGAGCTGATGAAAAACCAAAGTCAGTTAAAAAACTATTGTTTGACGCAAAAATGGAAAATTTAGGCAAGGAAAATACAGTAGTGTTAAAAACATCTCCAAGTACAATAACTGCTTATAACGGGAAAAAAATAATTACTAAGATTGAGTCACATCATGGGAAAATTATGAGCATAAATCTTTATGATAATGCACAAAAACTTATTTACATTACAGAAACAGGTTCCGTTGTCATATACAGTATGCTCACTGAAAAATCAACACAAATATCAAAGCTTGATTCCGTTGATAGTTTTATTAATGTGATAAAAATTGAGAATAATTATATGGTGTTGTGCAGAGCTATAAATAATAGTTTACAGGTAAATATTTGTTCAAATGTTAATCATTAATTTAGTGTTTACAAAGAAGCTACATTTTATGTATACATGTGCGCAAGTATATTTATAAATATTTTGTTTCCAATCAGGTATGGAGAAACATCAAAATATCTCAATTGATCGAGGGCTCTGGTCATGTCATTTTTGTACATAAAATAACTGAAAATTGCGCATTGACTGTAGCGAAAAGTGGCAAGATGAAATATTGGATTATTGAAGATTTTAAATGGCGAGAATTATACGAATTTACGGATAACGATGGCACGATTATATATAGTTGTTTAAGTAGTCTTAAATTATTCTTAGCAGTGTTGAAAGATGAATCGAAAGTAGTAATTTATAAAATGCCAAATATTGAAAATGAACAATCAGACAATATGAAAATAGAATGTTACATGAAATATCGTTACAAACAGCAATTAAATTCATGTCAATTTTCTCAAGATGAGAAATATTTGGCTTTGGCACTAGATGGTGGAGACATATGTGTAAGTATTGATTTAATTAAGGGCATTGGTGAATCTTGAATATACAAAATTTGATTAGTTTGAGCATCATTGTAAATTCAAATACATCGTGCAATAAGATTAAGAAATTAAAGATTTTTTCAATTGCTAAGGTCATGATTGCACAAACTTATTGACAAAAATTTTATGTTTTGTATGCATTGTTGAATTCAATCTTCTTCCTTTTTTTTTTTTTTTTGTTTTAAATATTTAAAAAAAAATTATTGTCGCGTGTATCCTTAATTTATTTAATTCAATTTATCAGATAATCGACGTTTTGGCACAAGCTGAATTGGGCAGATTATCATTACACTGCAGTACCGTTACACAGCTGCACTGGTCGCCCGTATCGATTGGTGTGCCTATTCTTCTGTCTGTAAATTGTGACGAGTTGGCCTGGTGGAATGTGGCTTTTCTCAAGAGTCCCGACAAAAGTCAAAATCGACGTAGTCGGATGGGTTTCAGTCGTAGTATTAGTAATCCGACTGTTGGCATAAGTCCGCGTTCAAGCTGCAAGATTCCAAGCAGCCAGAGTGCCGAATTATCAGCTGTTGGGGAGAAAGTCTCGACGCTATTACTAAACGTTGATGAATACTGGAATCGCAAACTGGCTAAGAGCGGTAATCCTGAAAGACCAGCGTTACTCGGTTGCGTGCAACTTCCCTCGAGTTGTACGGACAAGGTTAGCGCTTGTGTGTCTGACGACTTTTCTAAATTTCTTACTGTTGACATTCACGGCACAGTCAGTAATTATACCCTTTTCGGGAACTTCCTTTTGTAGCTTGAATTTTTAATGCTTAATAAGGATAATTATTGGGTTGCTACTTGAACACCTATAAAGCCATTGTCAGTTTTTGTTACTTTGAAATGTGTTTCATTTCATTTTAATTGCCTTTGTCAATCTTAATGACTTTATAAAGTAAGTTAAAATCACCACGAGTAAAACAATATTCATGTAAATATGTAATTTTTAATACAAAATAGTACTATTGAACATTCATTATTATGCATTTTGATTACTGCTTTGAATGCATTATGTTTTAGTCGAGAGGTAATACCATTACAAATTTATTAATAATTATCTATTGACATCAATTCAAGTACTTTTATGACTAGAGGTAAAAAAATAAAAAAAATATTTATCTACCAGATAAATACTAGAAAAAAAAAATATAATTGTTAATTTTACACGTTTTAAAGTGACAAAAAATGTACATATTTTGTTGACACACGAGAACAAAGAATATGAACAATATTCTGAGATATTCTATTGTGATATTACAATAGTAAAGTTTATTAGTAATATAATAGAAGATGAAATCGAGTTATGATGACATTTGTAGATAATTGTTTAAATTATATAATGATATATGTGATAGCCTAAGATAGAAAAATTTAAAACTATTTCTTTGTTTATTTAAAACAAGAAGTATTAAAAAATTTATACGTAACAAAATATTCACTGTTTAATTGCATTTTTTAGACTTTAGATTTTAGAAAAGCATTTAACGCAGAGTGAAATATAATGATAAAATTATAAGTGCTAAAACCCTAGGCAAAATTCTTAAAATTCAATTAGAGTGGCAACTTAGGAATTGTGCCATTTTGATATAAGATTAAATTTACAAAAATTAATGAGATTATAATTTTACGTTATTCTTTAATTTAAATTACATGACAATTAATCTATTATAGCTATATCTTACTTAACAAATGAAAGAGTAGAAAAGTACAATCTTGGACTCACAGTTTAATTGAACTGTAATGAATATTGGTTTTGAATATTATATTGAAAAATATAATACATTTGCGTTCCTAACTGCTCAAATTAATTAAAATTTATTCAAAATTTTGAGTATTATAATAATTTCAAATCAAATGCTTATTTTTTAATTCATTATTCGATTGGTCAATATTAGTTCGTCAAAGATTGTATTTTACTAGATAATTAACATAAAAATTTGGAAAGTTTAGTTAACACAATAATAGATAAAAATCTTGAGTCATAATTAATATTTATATAAAACAAGATTATTTTTTAATTCAAAAAAAATAAAACGAACAAAATTAGAATTTATGAATGCAGTGGTATGTACAAAATTATTATATGAAAATATTATTAAATGAGATTATTACAACTAACTTAACTATAAATATTTTCAGATTACATTTAATCAATAATGTTTTATTTACAATTAGTATTTCTTACAAATTATTATATTTTTCGAATAAATATGACTCAAGTAACTTTAATTTATATTAATAATATAAATAAAATTATTAATAATTACTTTTATTAGTATTATGAACTGTAAATAAATAAATTTCTTCATAAAATATAAAGTAGAAATAATTCGATTAAATAATAATTATAATTATATTATAATATTTTGTAAAAAAAAACAAATAGTGCCTTAAAAATATTATAATACTGCTAAATGCGAATTTAGATGTTTTAAAGCAAGATCTCTATTATGCATTTAAGTCATTTTTATCATTTTTTTTGATAAAAAAATATAAAGATATATATATATATATATATATATATATTTCAGAATTATGTATGATTCCTGCTTTTTTGAATTTTTAGACACTTTTATGTATTTCTTGTATTGTCAATATATTGTTTATAAATAATTTTAGTTATAAGTAAAAAATTTTATATGTGTTTATATAATAATTATATATGTACATAAATCCTAATGAAACATATATTGTGATAAGATGATTACTGGTTCTATATTGATTCTGCATGATGCATTTTACTGCGTTGCAATAATTTGTGGGAATGTGTAATAATTATTGTAATTGCATTTATAAAATAGCATTTTAGATGCCAAACTGTCAAGCTCAAGTTTTAATAAAATTTGATGAATAATATTGTGTGTGTATATATATATATATATATATATATATAATATTGTACATCATAATTGTAAATAAAATTGTTATGTATACACAGTAATTTTTATAAAAGAAAATCAATAAAAATTTTATACAAATTCATTGGAAAGTTCATTCAACTCTCTTTAAATCTGATGGAAAAAGCAGTAGCGTATGTATACATGGATCTGTGAGTTTCGTGTGCGCGCGCATATAAAAAAAAATATATGCATATACGATGGCGTGCATATATGATCGGGTATACAAGCATGTAAATACAATTATTCAATCAATCAGAAAAGTAAATGTAGTTTTAGTAACATATAGTACACTTCACATTTATTATTAGCACTTATATCCCAATCCATTACATAAAAACTTAACACTTGGCATGCTTTAAGGCATTTGTTTGCAAACTGTAGGTCACAGACAGATGTGTAGAGGCCAATGTCAAACTTTACTATATGCATTCATTGCATACCCTCTTGAACATGTAAAAAATGTATTGATATTACTCGAGATAAACATTATAATACCTACAAGCATACCTTTAACGTATAGTTGATTGATAAGAAGGCATTCTGAAAGTGAAAAATTGAAATGTGTACAGCTGCTTGCTATTATTATTATTTTGTTGTTGTTGTTTTATTTTTTAATTCATTTTGTACATAATTAATAATAAACACTTAAATCCCTAATAGAAGTTAACGAAGAAGTTAATTTAAAAATGTTATATTGAATTAGTCTTCCTTAAAGGGGAGTACATTTAATTTTAATTATTGCTTAAATTTTGTAATTCTCTTATTCGTACTAAAGCAAAGTCGGCATTTTAATTACACGTTACCACATTTTAAATAGGTATATTTTGTCAATGTATCATATTAAATCGTGTATATATTAACTGTATATTATTAAACAATTTTTAAAATTATTTATGTATTATTTATGTAATTTAGAACTGATTATATCCGTATTTAAACATATTTGTGATTATTATAATCGTGTGATTATGCATTTCCTGGAGAACATTATTCAAATTAATCATACAATCGATTATAAAATTTTTTTTTAATTTAATTATTCCAATTTATGAATACAATGTACAAACTGTAATAAAAACTGGTTAGAGCTATAATAATTTTAATCAATCTTCGTCACATCATTTCCAATACATTTATAATAAATATATAAATATATAATATGTAATACTATAGATTATGAACAGTGCCGATCGCTAGTAAGGGGCGGTAATGGGATGAGGGGAGAGGGGCAGGGCAGCAACGTTGTTTTCTGACTGATAGTGGGGGCAACAAGAAAAGAACGATTTAAACTTTCAAACGTTCTATACTAATGAGCGAATCATCAAATCGACGTCAGCCAGTCAACACCGCGTGGCTCGACACTTGGTTCCTCTTCATTTTATAATATCTCCTCTTCCCTTCTCCTCTTCTCTCCACTAAACCAATTGTTGTTATTCATATTAGTCGCCGAACTAAATAAGCCATAATCATGCCTTCGATTATCTATAAAAACTCGATAGAAACAATTGGGAAGCTTGTTCCCGGGAAATTACAACCACTGTGGAATCATCCAGCAGGTATGTGTTGTGTTGTTGTACGATAGATGTATATAAATTCGAAGCACTTCCTATGGTTTATACAGTGTGTAATCATCGTGACATGTCAGTTTTATTTACTATCTGTAAAGAAGAGTACAAGAATGATACGTGTGTCGTGTCTTACGGATTTCAAGATTTATCATTACTATTATTATTATTTTATTTATATATATATATATATATATATTTTTTTTTTTTTAACTAGATTTCATCGTTCATTATCTCGGTCAAGGTTATGCCGAATCAATAAGCGTGAGACCCTTTATTTGAATGTTTTCGCTGTTGTTTGAGCCTCGCTATGAACATTTTGTTTTCTTTTATATGTTAATAATTGAGTTATTAAGTAAATATTAATGTGCTTTTAGTATATTCTCCATTTGTGTTAAATAATGTTTTTCCTCAGACAAATTTTTTATTCTAATTGCTTACTGATATAAGCTTTATAAATTTATTGTTAAAGATATTGAATGAAAAACATATTATGTAATGTTAATTTTATGAACTTATCATTAATTATTTGCTTATCATAAAAAATTAATTCAATAAGTAATTATTTAACATTCTTTCACAGTAGGCACACTGATATTCATTGATAAATACATTAGTATTTATATAAATTTACCAATTTATATAAATATTTTTAAGAATTACATAAAATTATCTGCTTAATAAAATACATTTTTATCAAATTATAAAGATCGATATTGGTAATCATAAGAAGTGCAAGAAATATAATAATTATTGAATTAAATTTTATTCTTTATGTGAGAAAAATTATTATAATTGATTTTTAACTTTCAGGTCCACAAACTATTTTTTTCTGGGCACCAGTATTCAAATGGGTAAATTTTTTCTTATATTTTCAATTGTATTAAAAGAAATTTTTTTTATAATATTATATATTTTTTTAATGTTTAGTTAATTGGAATTGTTTAGGCATGTAAAATTATGCGACTCGTAAAAAAATCATTTTTTAGCTATAAATAATTGTTATCGATTATTTAATTTACCATACGATTTTTAAGAAAATTATATACTATAGAAGACTTTTTTGCTCAGGGTCTTGTTCTAGCAGGTTTAGGGGATCTACAAAGACCTGCAGAAAAAATTTCAATCAGCCAGTCAACCGCTGGACTTATTTGGACTCGATACTCATTAGCTATTACCCCAAAAAATTGGAGTCTTTTTAGTGTCAATGTTTTTGTAGCATTTACTGCCATATATCAAATAGCTAGAGCAATTAAGTAAGTTTAAACCAAATATCTGTAATTTTTACATGTTAATACGTTCGTTTATTGGCTTAATCTATAATGTACATATTAAATGTTATACATAGATATCAAAAAGAACAATCGAGTCTACAAATAGCATCGGAGCTGTCTAATTAATAATTCGTTTGTGAAAGGCAATCTATCATTGATTAAACCTTTCTCTTGAATTTTTAAATGGCGAATGCCATAATTATATTCAAATGTGATGGTGATAAATAAGTTATTAAAAATTAAAAATATAAATATTTTACTACTGTTTTATCTCAATGGAAGTTCAGTTGATCTGAGAAGCATCTTATTACACTACCATAATGACTGTATAAATCACATTTCATTAATTGAAAAGATAAAAAATATCATTAGGAAATATTTTTAACGTTCATGTATATTGTTCTATATAACTATCTTTTCTTTAAAAAAAAAATTAAGGCAGGTCCTTGCAATACAATAATTGTATTTTTGTTATAATTCATTAGTAATAATTTATTAAACGAAAAAAGCAAGTGACTAATGAATGTATAGTGTATTATAATATATTTTTCTACTATTAGATCAATTGTAGTAGGATTTGTAATCAATAATAAAGAATATATATTTTTATGAAAAAAAATCCATAATTTATTATTTTATCTTTAGTCATTTTCAAACCTTTATTTTAAACTATTATCGCATAAATAATAAACTTATTACAAATTTAAACAAGAAATTAATATATAATTGTATTTTGGAGATTAAACATTTTATTTTAAGACATCAGAATTAATTATAGTTTCTCATTTTATTAAATAAGGTAGTTTAAAAGAGATTTAATGTTAATTTAATTTTAAATTTAATGTCTATTTAATGTTATTATAATTTTAACTTTATATAGCAATTATTCATTAATATAGCAATTAAATATATCTATATTTGATTATTTACATCACCATTAAGTGTATTTGTATAAATAGTTCTTCACATATTGAATTTAGAAGGTGTATCTACAGAATTAGTCTAAACTTTTTTCTCATTGCATAAAAATATTTGTATTATTATTGTTTGTCAATTTTTTACCTTTATACTCAATAAATTAAAATTTTAATTAAAATATCTATAAAAATTGAAAGTAATAAAAATAAAAATTGAAGTTTTATTCGAATATTAGAAATTTAATAATATCAGGAGGAAAATATCAGGAGTATAGACACCTTATTGAACAGCAAAAGCTATAAAAAAAAATGAAAAAATTTTATTCTAAGCGATAACTTTGTAATATTATAATTGAAAACCGCTGCACAACTAATCTATTACAAAGATTTTTAAATTGTTCTTGTGATTTTTTAAATTGAATGAATTTTGAGTACTTGAACAAGTTGCTTTATTATATTTGATATAACATTCTTTTAAAATGAAAATATTTATAAGTTTGTTTATTTACAAAAGAAAAAATTAATTTGCTATTATGCAATTGAAATATTTTATAATCATAGAAATGTAGATATATGTAATTCAGATAGTAATATAGCTCGATTTAATTTATTAAATTTTAATTCAATTAACTTATTGCTTTTTACATAATGTTAATCGGTAAAACAAAAAAGGATGTTTATACATAATAATGTAACAGGAAGACATGTATAATACAATAAACAAAAATAATTAAAGCTTTGAATAATCTTTTATTCATTTATCTACAAATTAGTATTTTAAATTTATTTAATACTTTTTACTAGACGTTAAGTATGTAAAATATTTAATAAATAAATAAAGCAAAATACAAGTAATGCTGTAATTTTTGTCAAAATTTAATTTCAGAGTTGTAGTATCCGATAACAAAGTTTTATTTTTTGTTGTTCATACGAAGATAACATCGAATCATTTGTTTATTTATTTTGGAGATTATTTGTAAGGATTTAAAAATTGTCGATTGTTCATCGACTATACAACACTTTATAAAAATTATTTTTTTTTTATTTTATCAAAAGAATATGTACGACTCTTACTTTAACGGTATACTTAATTTAACTCGCATATAATCAATTTTACTATATATTTGTATTATATAAGTAAATAAGTATTTGATTTATGTTTATTTCACTTTGTACATGTTCAATTACATGTATTTCCGCGTCTGTTAATCATTTTTAATACTTAGACATTTCTATGTATATGATAAATTTATTTTAAAGTATTTTATAAAGTTCTGTGGGTAACTTTCAAGGCGCAGCTAAAGAAATTATAAATTGATAACTGCAATCTATTAAAACACAATCTTTGTTCTTTCTTGAATTTTTGGCTTACTCTGAATAAATATAATTTTTAAGCAATTTATAATATAATTAAAATTAAATTTATATATACTGTTTATTTATAATATAAGAATAAGTTATAATTATATTTCTTTGATTATTTATAAATTTTGTGCACAATATTTTAGTTATACAACTGTTTTTTGTTAGAAGATTTAAGTTATTATTATTTTATTTATATATTTAAATTAAAAGTTTTAACTTTTAATTTAAGTTAAAAGTAATAAATTAATGAATTATACTCGACAATGATATGTTGATAATTTTTTTTATTTTACAACATAAAGTAATTAATACTTATAAAATTGTAACATTTTATGAAACGAATGTAGTTTATGAACATTATTATTAATTTTTATGCTTATATTTAGCAATATATCATAAATAAAATAAAAATTTTAAAAGTTTTGTAAAATATTCATTAATTTTCTTTTATATTTAGACATATTTTAGACGTTACATACACACGCGCAAGTATAATGCATGCTTAAGCATACATATATATATATATATAGTGTCAGAGATACAGTGAGAGAGAGAGAGAGAGAGAGAGAGAGAGAGAGAGAGTGAGGGAGGAAAAGAGAGAAAGAGTATATCTAATATTTTATTGTGTCTAGACTATCGTTCGTATAGGCATCTTTTAAACAGTTAATCAAGAAATAAAGTATTATGTTACGCGATAAGAAGGGATAAAGGCAGTAAATCGGTTACCATTGAAATTAAATTAAAGTAAACAATTTTTGTTTCAAATAGTTTGAATTACAATCAATTTTTCATAATTACATGCAAAAAATAAGTCAACGGCCCAATCGTGCGAAGAAACAAAAATTTGCGTTTTAACTATCAATGTAATATTATTGCTCTTTTTGACGAATCAATCACCATTCTTATTAAAGCCAATCTTGAGTTTTCAAATTTTATTCAAATTTCCTTGCACTCGTTCATCGCAAATTATTCCGTTTCACGAAAGAGGAAATTCGTAATTTTGAAAATTGTTATTGTCTTTCACTTATCTACAGAAATATTCATAAATAGCAATGGTTCATTGCTAATACGGCCATTGCATACTCGTACGTACGTTAGTGGATGATGTACCGTCAAGACAATCTTACGAATGCGCATATTAATCAAATGATGGCCTTTTACGCCATTTTCTTAGTGTAGGATACATTTTTAAGATCTCGCCCCTCCCCATCACACGAAGCGCTCCGTTCTTCATGCTTCGGCTTATCGATTAGCATTTAAATGTCGTTTATCGATAAATACGGCTGAGGCTGTGGCATCGTAGCGTCTTTCGCATACGTTCGTATTCCGTAACTTTGACAAATATAAAATCGCAATGCAAACATGACGGACATTCGGTTCGAGCCGAGAGCGCCGCATATTATGACATCACAATGCTCTAAACTACACTACAGTAGTACGATGACGTCATTGGCGCTTTATACTCTCGCGCCAGTTCGCCGGTGGGCTTTATGTAGGTAGATAAATGCGACAATTGGGATATAATATAGTGTGTGTCATTAATGAAAATGTAATAAGCGACGGGAGGAAGTAAATGGTTTTTCAATGTGCGTTCGGACGGAGGAATGAAAATTCGCAGAGCGGAAGTGCGAAGAATAACAGTAGCGCCTCCAAGCGTACGCGTCGCTCACTAATGCGAGGAAATTGCACTGGGGATCAGTTTTGATCAACGAGGAATGAAAGAGCAAAGGAGAGGGAGTGCTCTTCGTGTCCGCCATCGCGTTGTCACAGAAAGGAACGAGCAAGCCTAATGGAGTTCGAAGAAAGGTCTCTAACATCATAAGTTCGCGAGGAGTGCGCATCTCGCCCTTGCAACTTTAATCGAAGATATTGACGAATTTCAATAGAGGCTGATTATTATCACCTTCGCCTGGTCGGAGAGAGCCGAGTGACCGTTTTCTAATTGAGCTTATTAAGTTGATTGCTTGCTGCTGCGTAGCTAACATTTAAGAAGAAGCAGTTCTTTGAACCCACAACATACGAAACATGGGTCGTTACAGAAGGTGAGAATTTGAGAAAATAGGTGTGTCATTGAAAGTTCTTGGGGCCAATCTGTTCTTAAGCCTTATATTATATGATATAATGTAGTTTGAATTTATGATGAATATTACAGAGAAATAAACTTCTCTCCACTCGTCTATTCTATTTCAACAATAGTGTTTGACAATTATTGTGAGATTAATTAATTCTATCCTACTAGTCGGTATTTAATAATTTACTTTTATATTATTATGCTTTCGCCTTTGGCCAGCGTTAGAAAACATTTATTATATTGTATAAAGTGTCGCTAATTATAATTATCATTGTGCGAGTATCCATTGTTAATAAAAGAAAGTGTTTTTGTTTATGATGCCTCTTTTGGAATAGTACAATGACATCACGTAAACATTTAACATGTACAATAATAACGATTAAAGATTTTAAATGATACGTGACTAGCTTGCTATTCTTAAAGCTAGCAAAGTATAATTTTAGATATTTTTAAAAGACATTTATCTTAATCGTTTAGCTTTTATTTCAAAGAGGATTTTGCTTTGCTAATGTATTTCTTCATTTTAAAAAACGATTTGTCTTTGTAGTCGAAGTCGTGATAGAGATCGAAGAAGAAGGTCTCGTACTCGTTCTCGCAGCAGATCACCAAGGGACAGAAGAGGCTGGGGTGGCGGCCTCAGAGATCGTGGAGGTGGCAGGAACGGTAGAAGTCAACCAGGTGCAAATTTAAAGAAGCCAAGATGGGACATGAATCGATTAGAGCCTTTCAAGAAAGATTTTTACGTACCCTGTGATGCTGTACAAAATAGAGATCCACGTATTGTAGAACAATATAGAAGTGACAAAGAAATCACACTGCGAGGGAAGGGAATTCCAAATCCAGTTTTTAGTTTCGAAGAAGCTGGATTTCCAGAATATGTCATGAGAGAAATAAAGTAATTACTATTTATAATAATTTTAATATTTAGAAAGTTGTTAATGATTTTTTTATTTTTTTTTAAACAAGTAAAATCAATTTTTTCCAAGCAATATATTGCTAAAATATAATTTCTTTTATTATTGTATTAAAAAAAAGGAAAATTAAAATGTGTAATTTTTTTTTTATCGCGTTTGGATGTATTAAATTTTTTTAGGAGGCAAAGCTTCAAAGAGCCAACATCAATACAGGCTCAAGGTTGGCCCATAGCTTTAAGTGGAAGGGATATGGTTGGGATAGCATCTACTGGTTCAGGGAAAACCTTATCGTACATTCTACCGGCTATTGTTCATATCAACAGTCAGCCCAAGCTTTGTCGTAAAGATGGTCCCATTGCCTTAGTGCTTGCCCCAACGCGCGAACTTGCGCAACAAATTCAACAAGTCGCCGATGATTTTGGGCATTCATCTGGCATTAGAAATACGTGTCTTTATGGTGGTGCTCCAAAGGGCTCCCAAGCAAGAGATTTAGACAGTGGTGTGGAAATTGTTATCGCAACACCTGGCAGACTACTGGATTTCCTCGAATCTGGCAGAACTAATTTGAAAAGATGTACTTACTTAGTACTAGATGAGGCAGACAGGATGTTGGACATGGGTTTTGAGCCCCAAATCAGAAAAATTATCGAACAAATTAGACCCGACAGACAAACGCTTATGTGGTCGGCAACTTGGCCTAAGGAAGTGAAGAATCTTGCGGAAGAATTCCTTAAGGATTATGCACAAATCAATGTTGGATCTTTACAATTATCGGCGAATCACAATATTCTTCAAATAATTGACGTCTGTCAAGAATATGAAAAAGAAATCAAGTGCGTTATCATTGAATCTGTTAGCTTGTCGCGCAATTGATTTTACAATTAGGCATTCTATGTAATTTTGTAAATTAATTTTGCAATTACAGATTGAGCACATTATTAAAGGAAATAATGGCAGAAAAGGAAAATAAGACGATAGTATTCATTGAAACGAAGCGCCGCGTGGACGAAATTACGAGAAAAATGAAGAGAGATGGCTGGCCAGCCGTTTGTATTCATGGGGATAAAACTCAACAAGAAAGAGACTGGGTTTTGCAAGGTACGAATCATAACACTCGAGCAATACATTTGAATTATTAATATTTAACTAACAAATTAACAATCTGTCTTTCCCT